CTAGAAGAGCCATGCATTCAGTCCGCTTGTGGTTGCCTTCCAGGCAACAGTAGTAAACCAATGGTTCCCAGCTTAACGATTTCCAGAGCCAACTGCCATTCCCTCTCATCTCAGACACTCAGTTGAAACGAGGCTTCCTAGATCAGTAAAAAACCAGCCAGTCACTTCTGTTAAATCTCTCCTGTTGATAATAATTGGCACTGAATGTTGTTTTTGATGTTGTTTGGTTATCTTTATCACCCCCGCCTTTTCTAAGTTCGCTTGGAGTCCTGTCTTCGATGCTAGCCAGCTTCTTCAACTAGTTTGTTGGTTTTCCTTTGTAAGTAATCGAGTCTGTGTGACATTGAACATATATCATCCACATGAGAAATCCATATCTTCTAGAGTCTTCATACCACTGGCCTAACGTATTCCTGTCTCCTCGCTACCCAGTCTGATGCATAATCTGGTCACTCCACCACAGCTAAGAATATCATTGGTAATAATAGGCAGTTGGCTTTGTCTTACTCTTGTACTCACTTCGAAGGCGTCACTGAGTTTTCCGTTGTAGATCACTGACACGAGGCATTTTCATATAGCCAGGTGTTGAATGAGGTTGATAAAGATTTGGGCACTGCATGCCGTAGTGTTGAAGCAGATTCCAGATTACTTGTTTGTCAACGCTGTCTGTCGAAAGCCTTTTCGAAATCGATAAAGTTGAGGTAGAAGTTTGACTGCCATTCTATGCTTTGTTCGATGACGATGCGTAGAGCTGCAATTTGATCAGCACATGATTTACCTTTCCTGAATCTTGCCAGCTTGTTCTGGTTGATGGAATTCTGCATCCAGTGAATCCTTTATTCTCCTTAGGATGATGCGACTCAGTAATTTATTTGGCGTGGATGAGAGCATTATTTCACGCCAGTTCTTGCAGAGGTATGCGTAAGTCACCCTTCTTTGGCAGCTTGACGAGGTAGCCCATTTTCCAATTGGCAGGTACCTCTCCTTCTTTCCAAATGTTTAGCAGTAATTGAGTGAGAACATCTTCTGTAATATCTGGGGCCGCATTCAGTGCTTCGGAAGGAACTCCGTCCAGTCCTGCTGCCTTCCCTGCCGGCGTTCAGTAGCTTGATCGCATTCAAGACTTCTTCTTTCGTTAGAGGAGTGGTGTCCACTGGCATTTCCGTGCGTGCTGCTGTTGGTATTTCTAATCAAGTTACTGGTAGTGGTTGATTCAAGAGTCCTTTAGAGTGATCACCCCATTGTTTGTTCTGTTTCTCCTCTCTGGTGATCAGGTTCCCTTGAGTATCTTTTATTGGTTTGATCATCTGAGTTGATCTCTCTCCGGACAGAAACCTGGTTTTTTGATATAATGTCCTGAGATCTATTTTCCTGTGGCTTATTCACCTTCATTTGCCAGTATGACGTAAAATTGTCTTTTGTCTTTTCCAGCACTCCTCTTCAATTTCTCATTTTGGTGTAGTGTACATTGAGCTCAGCTTCTCCTTCTATTTTGCATCTTTGCATTGAGTCATCTTCTCATTCACCATCCTCCTCTCCTCCATTAGCTTCCAGGTATCCAATGACAGCCATTCCTCTTCCTTTTTCCCAGAACAGTTGTACATGTTTCCTTGAACATCAACTTCAGGGAGTTATTTCCGATGTTCTTCCACACAGGTTTCCTCAGTGATGCCACGTAGTGTGTGCGATTTCACTCTGATCTGATTTGTAGCTAAGGCATCCCTTGTAGTTTCGTCCTTCAGTTTTTGAATGTTGAACTTGAATTGTGGTTTGTCTCCATTTGTTTTCAGGGAATTCAGCTTCGCCTTGAAGGTCTTATGAACTAGATGATGGTCTGAGCCCATATCTGCTCCCCTTAACGACTTTGTATCCAGCAGACTAGCTGCGTCTGCACTTCCTTGAGATTGATATGAAATCTATTTGGTTTGCGGTGTATCCGTCAGGCGAAATCCATATTGCTTTGTGTATATCCTTGTGTTGGTATACGCTGCCTATGATCAACAAATCACTGAAAGCACAGAAGTTTGAGAATAATTCTCCCTCCATTCATTTCGCCGAGCCATAGTCTCTCGACCCATGATGAGTTGTCTTCCTGAATTATCTGCTCCCACTTCAGTTCTCACTCATATCGCCCACAATGATTTTGATGTCATCATTTGGGTTGTTGTCTATTAATATTTGTAGTTATGTGTAAAAATCCTCCTTCTTTTCTTGTTCAGCGTTGTTTGTAGCACTGTGGATAGCATTCGATAATTGTGACCTTCTTTCCTTCCTTTTGAGCTAAATCATGCAGTCATGATCCTGCAGGAGGAAATTGGTTCCCACTATATTAGGGCTTTGGCTGCCACTGGAGACATAATTATAGCAACTCAGTGCCTGCATGTGCTCGTGGTTGTCATCAGGGTGACTGGAGTAGAATACCGATCCTCCAGTTGACAATTTTGACAGTCCACATCCATTCCATCTGCTTTCACAGATACCCAGTACTTCTAAGCCATATCTCCATATCCCTTTGGCTACCTAGGCAGCCCTCCCAGTCTCGTTCATTGTACGGACATCCCAAATACCCATTCTTACTCTTGCTTTCATCAAGAGAAGACATATCGGCTGGCTGACTGGCCTCCCGAAGACTTTCACCAGCCGGTGTGTAATTTCGCCCCCTTGATTTCAGCTTAAAATAAAATGGTTCATTGATTTTTTTTATTTTTAATATACTTTTTGTCTTGAAGTTTTTTTACTGGTTTGACAGGTTAAGTGGTGTAGGGTTACTAGCCCTACGCTCTACACTGCTGCTTTAGCCTGGCTTGGGACAGGCCAAAAGCCTAGCAAGCCAGTTAACTAGGCGAGGTTTCGATACCACATCCTCTTATTTATTTTGTGATCTCAGCAGCCACGCCAAACAGCCTCAAACAACATTGCAGGAACATTCTGTGTCCCCATGGGTATATTTGCTTTCATCCAGAGAGTGGTCACATCAGTTGACCTGCTTCGTGAGGGTTCTCATCCAGTGAGGTCATCCATCTTGGAGGTGATGAATATTCCTGATTCAATCGACAGATGAATTTATGATATTTTCGCTTTTAAATTTTAGTAGCAATATTTGCATGTTGTTTTTCGGCGTCGGCTGGAGTGTTGTAGTTCTACACTCAGTCTTTCCTCCCTTAGAAGCGTTGTCACAATATATAATTATTCTTTAAATTCTTCGAATAATGAAACAAACCAACGGTGGTCCGAATAGTCCTACAATTTCATCCTGAAAGCAAATGAACAGAGATAATTTTTGAAAATCAAATGACAGAAATGAATTTAATCTGTTTACTGAACAGTCTGTATGTCACAGTAAGGGGTTCACAGAAAATCAGAATCAGAGATATGACATTTAGAAGAATGGATCAAATTGAGTTGGTTGATATATGTGTCCCAGATATATGGAAAATTCTACTGCCCATACAACAAATAGTAGAAGACAGAGAAAACTATAAAAATCAAATCTTGAAGTCGTGTGACAAAAATTGATATGATTATGAACAATAAATTGTGTTCGAAACGTCATCCAGTAAGTAATACTGTTTCACTGACTGTGTGATACATTTAATAAACAAACTAATATGGAATGAGTTGTTTGACTCCACATTCACAATCAAATGTGACTCGAGTTTTCATATACACTGCATCTGAATTTATCCATCTATATTTTATGAACCCCAATGTCGTGAGTAAACCTCCGTATTTGAAGTGCTTTCTTGACTGGTGAAGATTTATAGCTGAGAAGTATACGCCTTGATTATAAAGACAATTTTCTCCTAGGAGGAAAATTAGCACACAAAAGAAGGACATATGGAAAATCTGCAGAATATCTTGTCGAAATCTTCCTATACTGAATGTGTGTGTTCTAAGTATATCCCATTGAATTCTACAATCTAATTTTTATCGGTTTACAATTTCAAAATCATCAGGCTGAAGCAACCAAATTCGAAATCTTGATAGTATCACCTCAATTGTTCACTACAAGGCGTTTGAGTAGTTTTCAAGTGGGATCGTCTAACTATTTTTCCCTTATGCATAATGTCAATTTAACATTAATTGGAAGATGTTGTCCTGACAGTATAAATGTTATGCTGCACAGGTGCTGCATTGATAAGGAATCCCATGTTTCAGAATATCTCAAGTGACATTGAGATTTGGAGTGAAAATGTCAAAACAAAGTAAAGAATATGGTATGAAATTACTTTGGCATCCGATACATGATGTTCATTGTTATTATAGATTTATATTTATCAGTGAATGAGAAACAGAACAATGTTTATTTAATCGACATTCCGACGTTTCAAGCTAACAGTATAACGAAGAAACAGAAAACCAGAATTCATGAAATCTCAGCTAAAATTTACTGACTCGATCATTTCACTTCAGTATCACGTAACTGCACACGACTGAACAAAAACAGACTGTCATGAATAGTAAAACATGAACCACGGTGAAAATAGATGATATTGAAAGACAGCTCATGTAAAAGAAATGAGTGAAATAAAGATTCGTGACGGTAAAATTTGATGTCCCAGATAAAAGTGGAAGCTGCATAATTTTCCTTCTCTTTTGACCAAATTTGAGCACAATGGTTCCATGTCTACAAGATTGGCCATGTGACTGCACTATTTGTATCCCATTTACAGACGAAGAGTGCTCAATTCTGGAAGAACCTCACTTACATTTGAACTTTCAGCGAAGGTCACACAATTCACCAAATTACAGAAATGTACTATTTCGATATCATTCACTTCTCATGAGATAAATTGAATTCTCATTGATCCAGCCTACATCGTTTTGTGTATATAAAGAAGTGCATGAAATGATGGGATTCATACAGCATTACTTCACTATTGTCTTCACACTCTCACCAGAAGAACCGTAAAATGGCTCAGAGTTCCAGGAATATTCTGTTGTTCGTCTGCATCATCAGTTTGGCTGTAGTGGTGCAGTGTGAATATGTTTGTGAGATTATGCCGAATATAACTATGGTAAGTACACACACACAGAGAGAGAGAATATTGAATTGCTAACTGACATTCTCTTCAGAACTTCGGTATTTTGGGCGAACCAGTCGACAAGCGTCAATATGGTGGGAACAGACTCAAATTTATTGTGCATTATGATCACACCATTCAAAGACATCCGTTATTTCCTCGATTCAAGGTAAGACCAATCAATCAACCAATCAAGTGAATTTATAAATGCATGTATTTCTGTCTGAACTTAGTTATGCCTCAAAATCAGCCGACATTCAGTGTATGTCTGTTTTGAGTTGTGTTCATCTTAATGACTAGGATTTGAAGTGAGCTATCCAAGTTTCTGAGTGAAGTATTTCAACACATTTGTTCCTCCAAATGAATGAAACATGGGTGTCAAATTCACATTCAACTACGTTCTCCGACTTTCTACTATCACTTCCTGACTACACTTGCAGTCATAGCTTGATTATTTCAAAATGGCGTATATTTCAATCACACTTTACTACATACAAGCTAAAGAAGGAGAGAGAGAGTTCAAATCTGAGTTATTGGAAATCCCTGTACCTTGATTCTGTTTGTGCAATTGTAATCTCGCCTTGTTCTTGACAGTAAACACTGTGCCTCCATGTGTAGTTAAATCGTACCTCATAATTAGTGAAATTATTTCAGTCAGTCTTTCATATAAAGCGTTGTTCTGAAAGACATTTTATGTTATACTGTTATTACTATTTCCTTGATTGAATATTACCTCTTTTCACTTTACTTCGCGAATAGGGTGAAGTCGTTGAACGAGCACTTGATTTCTGGGAAAGAACGCTGAGTGTGAGAAGACCACCAAACAGAAAACTCCTTATTCAAAGGTAGGTAATTGCTCAGTGTGTGTCGTCAGCCGAATTCACTTGTCTATATGTATATCTTCATGGCCATCATAAGTAAAATAAGAGGCCATTCACGTTGTTTCATAAAAGTGTTAATCTATTTATGTACTGATTTCAATATCCGTCAGTTTACAAGTTCGCTTTTCTATATCTCCCTTTGACAGAGGATGCGTTGAACCATACTACTTCACAGATGGACGCACAGGAAAGAAGTTCTGCAAACAACGATGCAAACCTCATGCTAAATGCTATGATCACAGAGTTCCAGATCAATATGCTTCCGTAAGTTTCATCTACTCATTTCATTACTTGGAGTCATCAAGATGGTCATCAAAGATGTGTAGCCTCTTTCGAATAATTCCTTGAGAAGGGACGACGAAGCGACTTCGTGATGTGGATAATGCATGTGGTTGGATAGTGTGGCAACCGAAGGGAAATTCAGTTTATCTCAGATTCGATTAATCAGAAATAAGCAAAGATGTTTACTGCAAATTATGACTGTGATATTGACGATTCTGAGAGCAAAGAAACATTCTGTGACACTCTCTGAATGTTCATCTATTTTCACCATAATATGAATTCTAGGGGGACCAGATTTACATTTATCAATCAATTTGGACATCGTTCTTCAATCAGATAAGAAATAAGCTTACAATTGTGAATATTGAGATCACTAACGTACCCCGTTTCGTGCTGCAGAAAGACAATAATTATGGCTTGACGGAAAATATAAGAAATTCCACAGTATCCAGAGAACACTTTCAAGAACAAATAATGTTTCTGGTCGATAAAATGTTTCGCTATATTCATAAGCTCATTCTCTCAATGCACATAAGTCGTTCAATTTATTGAAAGGCGTTTATTCATTTATTATTACTATTTCTATTCACAGGGATGTGCTCAAGGAACTGGTGGTCACAATATACGAGATGTTTACCAAGACGGGCCAGGATTTGCACCAAATCAGTTTGTGATATTTGTGGAGGCTGCAAATAAAGGAGCTTGTACCAGTGGGTCAACATTGGCATATGCCGGTCCATGTGAAATGCATCCAACAACTGATAGGTAGATTATGTGTACATTAATTATTGAATGCATAATTGTTGTGAATTTGAACTAAGTTAGGCAAACCTCAGTAGATCCCAGTTTCTGCAGGCTGACGAAAACATTCAGTAGACTGTCATATTCATTGTGCAACACCTTGTGTGCTATATTTTGTATGACATCTCGAAATATGGATTATTTGTTTAGGTTTATGGAAGTTATCCAAAATGAATTTCGCCTTTCCTAACAAATTAAGTGGAAAACGGTGGAACGATGGACCACCGGTGTCGATTTTCGCTGGTGTTCTAAAGGAGATATTCGAAGAATGTAAAGTGACCAGAGACTCACTGTCTCGTACTATAGTTGCCTTAAACTACCAGATTACGTGAAATTTCTTGTCTTTTAAGTAACCTTCTCTAAGCAATTTGATAACGTCTGTATGGTTTGATAGTTGTAGAACCCTGTGGGGTGAGCCATACTGACGGAGTATTGATACTTATTTACAAGGTGAGAGTAAGTTTATCTAACCACTGATAATCATGTGGAAACTCCTATTGAGATGATGTAGTATTTCGGTCAGTGAAATCATAATCCATCACCCTCAAGGTAACAAAAGACCTGATTAGGTAAAGCGTTAAGCCAAAAATGGGAAAATATATTGAAGTCATCTAAGAAAACTCTTACGTCAGATGAGTACGTATATATATATTCATTAGGTGAAAACACTAGGTGGAGCATACTCATCAATCATCTCTCCTCATTTCCTTCAGACTCTCTGAGTTATGTTGTATGAGATATTCCTCAATGAGACTGACTTAGATTACACTGGTTAAAATCCGTCTTAGGACAATTACTGATGTCGGTGAAATCCTCTAAGCCTTCACCTTTCTACACAGGTCGAAGACTTCACTTCCGTGAAATATTCATCCAAAACAATCTTATGTATCCCACATGTGAAAATTCAACTCACAATGCACAGTCAATAATCACTCCGAACTCTCCGACATTTCTTTTCCCACTGATATTTTAGACCAATTATGGGAGCAATCAACTTCTGTCCAGCAAAAATGGAAGTCGACGAACCTGGTAAAACGATGTTAGTTGGAACAGCTATTCATGAAATCGGACATGCTTTGGTATGTTACTGTGTATCCATCTCTTCAATGTTATGTTTAGTTGAATGTATTTTGAAGTGAAAACATATTTTAAATGCGAGCCATAAATACAGAATAACCATCTGTTGTAGCAAACACGTGTTTGATGTTTCTCCTCAAACCGATATAAATGTTCACACTTCATTTTCACTAGCAATTTGAGGGCGAGTTTCTTAACTCTGTATTCGTCACGCTACAAACAACAAACACATGCATTTATTCTCATGCATCGCAACATTAACAAGTCCAAGTCTACAATTTAATGCTTGGACATTCTTCCCACCACATCTGAACTTCAGACTTAATATCATTGACCACCTGGAAATGACAATAAAGGAAGCATTTTATTCATTTTTGACAGCTAGCACTTTATCATTAATATTCGGTTCACCAACCCATTCAGAGTAGTCATCATTGAATGAAGATGTGGAAATTCGAGTTGTGTGCCAGTTTGCGTCTGCTTTGTGTGTCAGTCTTTGTGTGTGTGTGTGTGTGTGTGCCTGAGAGTGTGTTTGCGTGTTAACCACATTCACAATGTAACACGAATCTTTCTGACAATTCTACAGGGATTTGTGAAAACTAGTTTCGCTTTAATGCGTGATGAAAATGGGAATCCAAGAACACCCAGGGACCCTAGAACAGGCAAGCCACGAATGAATCAATTCAGACATTATGAACCAAGGTGAGAAAATTTCGCCATGATTTCATATTGGTAAATAAACACTGGAATAAATCTTCATCGTCTGGTAGAATTTACTGATAAGTATTGAAGCTGATTTCATAAACCGACTATTCCGATTACTCTGTCAGTAAGATGATGACCGATTTCCATATCAAACACCATGTCTGAAAACTAAATAACATGCCGTATTCAACGCAGGACATATATCATCCTTCCAAATATTTCATATTCGAGGTTATATGAACCACAAGTGGGTTTTCTCATAGCGTGGGAGATCTATTTGTTATTATTCTAGCACTCACTTAAGATGTATCCTTTGCACATATTGTCCACAAAGACTGTTCCAATAATTTCGCCCACTGACATAGGCCGCCTTTGAATGCACTGGGGAAACAGGATTTCATCATCAATTTTTAATTCGACCGCCGGAATTTTTAAACACTTCAGTCTCAACACGGAAATACAGGCTCTTCGGGGTTATATCATTGCATAGTTTGTCAAGCATTACTCTCTATAAATTGTAGCTGAGATACTGGTACACTGCGTGTACCCTTGAAAACCAATTCACTGATAATTCGTGTTTATGGTAGCACAAGAGTCGAGATAATAGTTCCCACAGTCAGTATTCTCACGAAGACAATATCATTACAAAATATTTACTTTCTCATTATCATGTAAGGCAAGGAGGTTTCTGAACTGATGCTTATCACATGTGAAGAAAGAATATCAGTGTCACAAAGGAAGATGTAAGTCAGGAGCACACAACGAGTCTTCCCAGTTGATTCTGACATCTTTCATTGTATCACCATCTTTGTCACCATCAACATCACCTTGGTGATACACCTCTCACCACTCGATATCTGAATATCATACGACAACCTTGTCGACTCACTATGTATCATCCAAGACTGCATTGTTTCTAAACGTGATTATTGCATGTTTACACATCCTAATTAATTAAATAAACTCTCCCTCTCACTACTACTACTAATAATAATATTCGATCTCTCTTCCAGTGAAAATACTGTCAGACGAATCAGCCGTCCATGGGTTTCGGCCATAGGAACATTCCGTAAAGCATTCTTATCCTTCGTCACACCCCGTCTACTGGTAAGTATTTTTACTGGATTATCAACTCTGCCTGTTTTGAAACTAGGTGGTTTACGGAGCTTGCTTCTCCATGTAGGTAATCTAGCTGGCTTCATGTCTCTCTCTACCAGTCTCAGTCTACTAGATCTCGACGTAGTGTGAGTTCAGAGTGGATGAAACTTAGATGACACGAAATAATTATGACTACAAATATTGTTTGAAAGCGCCCAGTGGAAACCGATATCTCCATCTGTAATGATTTAACCTAACACGGGAGTCAGATGGGATTACTTCGACTTTTATTTATGGTAGAAACCATAATGGACGTCGTTAACCAATGTCAATAGTCATACTTTCAAATGTGTTATGGGTAGCAAGTGAGATAATTTTCAAATATCTTTTCGCACTGTTGAGCTTCCCTGTTGTAGAATACATTACATCATACACACCTTTCATGCTTTCAGGAGGAAGGACGTAGACACTTCAACTGTCCAAATCTCGATGGAATCGACATCGAGAACGAAGGTGGTGAAGGGACAATCGGTACACATTTTGAAAAGAGGGTTGTTGGTGTAAGTCGATTAGTAAATAATCTTCCTAATACTACAGGTATTTGTTTGTATGTACAAAGGGATGAATATCTAATTTCGACAATCACAGTTGGTTCATTAATTCACATGCATTTAGTAATATCACTGGTTTGAGTCACCATTGGCAGTGGGACGAAGTAATTCTCTCTCAGTTAAGGGATATGCAGAAAGCAACGAAGTATTTGTACAGACATTTCTACTTCGTGTGATTGGAAATTTAGTCATCTCCAATTCACGTGTCAGATCACAGAAGGAAAGGAACTAGATTGGAGATGGACACTAAGCGGGAGCATGCCTTGCAAGCTGACTGCATCCTGTAACACGCCACACACATCAATATCCTGTAAAGAAAGACTACGGCACCAATAGATACGTGTATGACAGAATAGGGTAAACACACAGTTATGTCAACATTCAATGAAGCAAATTAACAAAACATGTAAGCTTGCTTTGCGAATTCACATTATCACAGAAGAGATCTTTATTCACAACCAAGCACCATAGATAATCCTACCCGAAGTATTCGTAACAATTAGTGTTGTGATAACTGGGAGTATTCAATTGTCAATATTTCATCTTCTCCTCTCCACCTCACACATTCGAGAAATTGACCAAGGCGGTTACAAAACACCACATTGGCTCACTACGACACCAAGTCAATAGAATAAGACAATCAGCTGAGTGTATTTTCAAAATATATTGGAATTATGTTGTGAAGTTTTTCTAAATGTGACTTTTAATGAATTATAACAACCACACAACCTGATTTTTCTTGCAGGATGAAATCATGGCAGGTGTAACAGGAGTGAAAGCAGTCACTTCACGACTGACATTAGCTTTCTATCAAGATTCTGGGTAAGTCGACGTAATCAAGCAAATATTTCTCCTTCTACATGTTAGCTTGAATAAGACCAGAGTACAAATGCACCACTTCTTAGTCGACGAATAAATTTTACGGTGGGATCATTTCCATTCAGACCTTGTCTATTGGAATGTGTGTGACAATCACTGAATACACTCCACACAGCACACAAATTGTCTCACTCACTTCATTTCTATTAAACTTGACACTACCGAAATTGCAGCAGATAGCCTGTCAAAGCAGACATCACTTATAGTGACAATCAGCTTCTCCGATATCAGACAAGGCAATACACTAGTTATTTGTCTCATTTCGCATACACAGTTTTGAATATCACATGCTTTCGGCTTTGTTTTTGTTTGTTCCAATAACAGCTGGTGGGACGTTGATTACTCACTCGCAGAAAAGTGGGACTACGGAAGGGGACTTGGCTGTAGCTTTGTAATGGAAAGCTGCTACGCGTATATCAACAGAATGAAGCAACAGTAAGATTTTCAATGCATCATGAATGTTGTGATGAATGTGTAAATATATCACTGATTGTTTTCATGTATAGCACACGTGTTTACAATAAACAAGCTGATGTACTTCTGATATTTGTGATATTGTAGGGGAAGAAGTATTGAACCGTATTGTGAAGAACCAAGCTATTTGATGTGTTATCACAAGAAAGCCTTCGGCATATGTGCAGTTTCCAGGTTCACCAGACATCTTCCTGCACCCGAACAATATTTCAGAGGTATTCCTAACCAAGGAGGCACCACTACACTCACGGAACATTGTCCTATGATTCAGGTAAGCTTTCACTTTCGATACACTTCTCTATCCTTATGTGTGTCAGAATATGAAACAAACGACCTTTCATAAAAGTCCTAGTATAAAAACTAGATAGCGTTTACTTTTTTCGCGAGAAGATGACCGCATCAGTATAGACCACGATAACTCTGACTTTCAATAGAATATACGAATCACGTGACTATGAATCATAATCAAGGAAAATACGTTGTTACAGATGAAACATGATATGGTATTTTGAGTGAATTCAGTGGTGTCTTCATCACACCACGTCGCGATATGTGGTATCCAGAGTTTGAGGAGGAGGAGGAGAGATACGCAATGTGGACTACTGGCTGATATGAGTAGTCGAGAAGCCATTATACCAACTAGTACGCTTCACTTTTCACACTGAGATTGCATATTCAGGAAATAGCCTCCTCACAAATGACTAATACCCCAATATCTTCAACCACTTAAATTATCGACTTCATCATTACGCTTATTTGTAAAGGCGACTGTTGAAATCAGTAACTGAAAATCCTACTACAATCAAGGTTGGATTACTCCATCACTATTAGAATAACTCGGAAATACTGCACAGCTGGTTGCTCTCTCGTCTCAGCTCGATGGCGACTCTACTTAGATTCTCCTTCTAAGTATGTCCGATTTGTGTGACACAAAGTAAGATCCAAGTGTCAGGTGTGCATGTCATTGATTTTCTCTTCCAAATGTACACACAGCTTTTCGATTCACTTAATCAAAGATTTCAGAGGAAGCAGAACATTTCCCATATGCAAAAGAGGTCTCCTATTTCTCTTCCCAATAATAAGGTTAATCATCTCCGTATTCCACAAAACCAACAGTACGATCCTCACAGTCACACGATTAGGTTTCATCGAGGTCTCAATTCACAGAATTGCAGCACTTCATCAGTTTGCGAAACATCCGTACATAAAATCAATCCACATGTTCTCCTCAGCCAAGGATTATTCGATGACATCGTGATTCTGTGTATTTCGTTAATAAAGTGGAATAAATATCGCTTGTCATTCTCCATTTTTCCACTCTCCGAACAACCATGAAGCCGATGAAAACATTCTTCCATGAACCGTTGATGACATATTGCAATCATCATTTGAATAGACAACATAGTAAGTCTACTGAGAGTTTGATTGATTATTCACGTGTTTTCATTGTGTGATATAAAAATATTCGAAATTCCGCTGTAGAAGATGACTGATGGAATTTTCGACTTCCCAAAGTGCATTCACAGTGAATAAGATTCACAAATCGTGTAGTAGTGTAAAGACGCAGTGTTTCATGTTTTCACATTGAGATTTCCAGCATAACTACCACTATTACTGTGAAAATGCAGTTCATATATGAATTCTGGAATGACTGGTTTCAACCCTGAAGGAAATTACAAATTTCAGCCACAAAAGCTTTCGAAACGTAAATTAACAGAGATCCGTTTGAACCAAGAAGATATCTTCCGGGTATTAGACATAACTCATGAAGAACCCTAACTAAAGACAGAGAAAAATGCTCATCCTGTTCTAAACAGCGGCGTGTTAAACGAGATCCGTTTTCACGATTCATCACTTTTTTACTTCTATAAATTAACACACATCAATCTATTAAGTGAGCGAACCAAACAATAAACACAAGTTCCTTCATTTCCCCACCTTCCCTATTCACTCATTCACTTTCCCTTCTTATTTTTCAAAGTGCAAAGAGGAAACATGTTCGGACAGGACTTTGGCAATAATTCAGTATGCGTTAGGCACAGAGGACCTTGGGAAGCCAGGATGAATGGAAGAGTATCAAGAGATCCTCGGGTTTTGGCGACTTGCCATCAGGTATGATTCACCAACAAAATATTAACTCTATTAAATGCATGCAGCACCCACTGATGTCAGAAACGTGTATGCAAGTTATCACCATAATCATTGTCATCCTCAGCATTCATGCAAGAAGTTGAGAAGAGTGCACCGACAGCCAACATCTTCTACATATCATACAGTGATTGAAGCGAACTTCTCACTGGACTCAATCAACACCTCCACTTGAAAGCCAGAAACTTAAATTTAATAGAAAGACGACAACATGGCATATTCCGAGAAATTCCTGAACGTCGTTAGACATAAGATGTGTGAGAGTAAAGTGAATAGTGTTTCGAGTGAAGTCAAGTTGAAATCAACTCCTTAGCAGAAGCTTAGGCGGACAACATCAAGAAGTCTATCACAAGTTTCTGTGAATCGCACCTCCATTCTGACTAATTTTATTCTCCCAACCAGAGGATCATTCGAAATTTCAAGAAGTATAAGTGACGCGTTGACTACTCAGTTATGCATAGATTACTGATTGTCTTGAATCGTGACTTGCCTAACAATTAAATATACTCTTTGACATTCCAATGAAATGTTTGCATTGACTGGAACAGTCAGAAAACTTTGTTAGTGAGATGGAGTGAAATATCTGACATAAGAGGATGTGTGCCTTACAATTTCAAATGAACAGTTAGTGGTGAAATAGTGAGTCATTGTATTCGGATCAACCTGCAATCAACAAACAGATTGATATACATCTAATTTATCAAGCCATGTGAAAGGCGTCACATGGATGAAAGACCGCATCTCGAGTTAACAAAATCATCAGTACCAAGTAAACGGACGTACAAAGAGATTAGCAGGAAGTCTCTGGAGACAATCAAGTAAGACTCAGTTGTTCTACTCGTTGAATAATTAGTTTAGTTAAATCTGAACAGCCTGTTCTCAGTATATATTCATACTTTCATTGTGCTCAGTGCATGATAGCTGGGAAATTAATGCAACGTCCATGTTTGTTTAAAAACATTTACAGATTTCGTGTGCTGGAGGTCTGAAAATAATTGTTAATGGCCAACCATTCCCTTGTCAGTCAGGTGTGGCAAGAATACAAACAAACCAGGTTACAGGAGAGGCCATCTGCCCACATCCAAATGAAGTTTGTGGAGTAAGAATAATTTGTGTGAACAATATTGCTACATTATATTTCTATTAAAACTTGTTTGTAGGTTTGTTGAACTGTACACCTTGACAATTCTGCAGACCGTGCGGAAATAACTACCCACTGACTAGTGACACCCGGTATTGACTTGGTTAAACAGACACTAATCATGTGGAACTTTGCCTGTGTCAGTGTTGGCTAGAATGAATTGTTGAATTTTGAACTGTGAAGAGATAATTCACCAATCTGAAAATGAAGAAAGAAATTCTCATCTCATTATTTACAGATAGTGACGTTCAATTTGCAAGTGACCCTCCATCTTCCATAATTCACCCCACATTTTCGACAGTCGGATGAAGTCTTGTTGCGTGCGTTGTCTGACTAAACTGCTGTACACATATATTCTATGTATTTCTTCGTTCTTATTGATGTGCGCAGACGCTGTGGCTACTCGACGCCCACAACGTAAATCAAAAGGCACTTGCGAAAATTACGAATATGTATTGAAGCAGTAGTCAAATTCGAAATTGTGTCAAGGTAATATTCAACAGTGAATGGACAAGTATTTGCGAAGTATATATAAAATCGGTCTGTATACACATATAATGCAAGTATACAAATTAGATTAAAAAGCATGTTTAGGGATGGTATAGAGGTACTACAGTCTCAATAGCCTGAGTGTGTCTCTGATATGACTTATGGCACCTCGGCGCAGGACAGTTGTCAGCGCATCTGACCAGCTACTGATGCTACTGAAGTTATTTCAAATATTTGTGCCGAGAATGAATGACGGCGACAAGACCAAAACATTCATTCTCAAGTCGTAAATGAAGTAGTGTATGGACGGAATTTTGGTGTTGACTAGCTTATACAGTTGTAGACAGGATTATGCAGGAGACACACTTCATAAATATCTTCTCAGTTGTTTTATGGAATGAAAGTTCCCGAACTTCAAATCTGATCGTCACCTCATTCAGTGATTCAGAGCACATCACTGAAATATGATAAATACTCATTTCTGAAACTGGTGAATTAGTGAACTGTGATCATTTGACATTGAGTTATTAACATGTATTTGCATGGCTGATCAATATGTCTAATCCTCATATTTTTCTCATTCACAGCGTGGGATGAAGTGAGAACTGGCGGACTGCGAAAATAGGCTAACAGTTACTGCAGTAGTCCAGCCAATTCAATTATCCAAGTTGAAGTCACTGTCGTTGTACTGTCTGATGCGATGTACCCAATTAGTTAACTGCTTTTTGTAATCTTCGCTCATTTAATAAATGTTCATTACATAACTCACTTTCTTCTTATCTACA